CAATTAGTGTACTCTATTTTTTTTACAAATGACTTGCCAACATGTTTTAAAAAGGGCTAAGGTAGCTGTGTTCACATCAAGCGAGTTAAACCTAGAATCACACAGAACTGAAATCAGTGGTTAAATGGATAGAAAATAATAAACTAGTACTGAATATCACTAAGACAAAAGGTATGGTTCTGGGCTCAAGTCACAACCTGTGTTGAATCTTTGCATACATGATGTACATATTAACCAAGTGAAGGAAAACAAGCTCCTGGGCATCATCTAGTAAATTATCATGGAAGAAAAAGATAGACCATACAGTTGCCAAGATGGGATTCTATTTAAAAGATGTGCACTTTTTTTTTTTTACAGCAGACTCAATGAGACAAGGGGATCAGTGAAAACACTAAAGTTAGATTCAAATTTGTATTTAAGCAGTATCGTTTGACAGAGTAATCTCATCTATTGCCATTCAATCAATCATTCAATTTTTATTTGTATAGCGTCAACTCATAACAAGTGTTATCTCGAGACACTTCACACAAAGCAGGTAAAAGACCTTACTCTTTGTCTTTTAACATCACAAAAGAGCAGGTAAAAAGACCATACTCATTGTTATGTTACAAAAAGCAGGTAAAAGACCTTACTCATTATGTTACAAAAAGCAGGTAAAAAGACCTTACTCATTGTTATGTTACAAAAAGCAGGTAAAAGACCTTACTTATTGTTATGTTACAAAAAGACCTTACTCATTGTTATGTTACAAAAAGCAGGTAAAAGACCTTACTCATTGTTATATTATAAAGACCCTTTGAAGAAGAAAGCCATTCAACAAGCTATACATTTTATTGGACTTATTTTCCTCCTGTAATTGTTGTATTTGCGTATTTATTTATTTATGTGTCTGTATATTTAGGCCAATGTATTTTGCAGATACATGTATACATATTTACATGTATTCTTTAATTCATCAGTAGATTGTGTACATAGGAACTGAACAGGTTCAAATGCCACTACCATGAATTGAACAATCGTATTTATTATTTGAACATTATTTGCTGGAAGCTGTCCTAACCCTGTCATTGTGTTCATGTTTTGTCACGTCTGTTAGTACTGTAAGGTAATGTGTTGGGATGAAAGCTGTATCTAATGTTGTTTATGTTCATGAGTGTTATTTGGTTTTAAGTTGTAAGATGACAGTCACACTGTAATGGTTGTTGTGGACCCCAGGAGGAAGAGCAAAGAACACCAATGCTGCAGCTAATGGGGATCCTAATAAACTAAACTAAACTGATCAATTTAACAACAGGAGAAAATCAATGATACAATCACTTCCAATTTAGTAATAGCTTGTGATAGGAGTGCAGTGCTTTATTGATCCAGGTATCGACCTGCATCATATGGTTCCCAAAGCACCTCCTGTGGTTCCCATGGGAACACATGGGAGGCCTGGGGGGATTAGTCACTGACAAAATACACTATCAGTCCATACCTGTCCTCCCCAAAGGGAGAATAGTTTTGATCATTTAGAAAGTGAAGAGGACAGGACAAAAAAAGCAAATAAAAGACATAATGGACTGATGTCGATTTTCCTTTCAAAGGGAAAACGTCCATCAAGACACATGAAATATACTGACAAGAAATACTTAGGATAGTAAGAACACATTAACGGACTGCACTGTAATTGCACATAAAGCTTCAAATGAGGATGACGTTCTTAAACATTGATTTATTGATCAATGTTTTTATTTCATTTACCGTCAAATTTCACATTTCAAGCTTCAACAAGCAAATGATTAGCAATAAGCAGTGAGCAAGACTAATCTCAACTGTCATTGAATGACTTGCTGTTTCTGCGCTCATTTCAAGCATGCCAAACTGTTTTCATTCTTAATTCATGATTGTTGTTTTTGTTAACTCAGTGGTGTAACCTCCCATAATGGAGCTCTAACAGTGTTGTAAGAGGGTGTTTTGAGTCCAATCCCATGGCTCCAGATGGATTTTTGTGGCTGTATATTCACGTGTTTAACTAACCAAACCAATTATTCCATATGGCATCAATTTCCTAACAATGTCAACAGTTGTTGCCAGAAAAGAAAAAGGAGTTGCATGTTTCACGCCACATCACACAAATCAAACGTTCTCCCACGGGACATCAGCAGGGATATAATTAATCACACAACTTTAACTGGTTAATGGCACTTTATCTTTTTCCAGCTTTCCACTGTATCGACAATGCTGCAGGTTTAAATGAGTGGGAGGAGATACATATAACATCCAAGGCCATACGCTGGAGAGTGACAAGCCAGGGTAAGCTGGTGTGACTTGTGCCAGTGAAACATTCACAGACAAAGAATTTAGCTCTTGAAACCAGGTCAAGCCACCAAACACAAAAAACATCTATTTTTCTGAGAAACTCCCACACATCTGATTATTGTCTTTCAACACTTCCCTGATAGCACAACCACATGCAAACGTATTCCACCATAAGGATGAAAACTCTTGCTTAACAAAGAATGAATACATCCTCACATGTTTTCATTCGGGGGGAAAAAGCCACATAGCAAAGATGACATTTGGCTGCCTGATCGGTGAATGCAGATGTGCAATGTTATTCTTTCCGATGAGATGTGAGAGATTTGCGAGTCCACAATTTTTCACCTTTTTTTTTGTTTTTCAAACTTGTACCTGTTTTACATCTCTGCTGATGAGGGAAACATGCAACAAAGCCAGCTAAAGCATTATTCTTCAAGGTGTATTCAGTTACAAAATGAGCTTTATAAGCAGAACTCATGCAGGTGCTGGAACAAATGTGTTGGCACATTCTTGAGTACATAATGACTCGATGTCATTTGTATCAAAAGGTGTCAGAACTCAAAAGATCTGTCATGAAATATGCCAAATAAAAACATTTTCATTGCACTTCAACAGAATCAGCTTTTTTTGTCATGAACATCTGTTGTGCCTCAGGCAAACCAACCCATGTTAATCATAAGACCCAATCTGTCTGGAAACAAGGTAGGTCTGCTGACATGCACTTAAACACTTCATCACCATAGTCTCACTTCTTTCAGTTCCAGAGGTCACACACACACACACACACACACACACACACACACACACACACACACACACACACACACACACACACACACACACACACACACACACACACACACACACACACACACACACACACACACACACACACACGCTGAGAAATGAATCACTAATTACTTAATCATAGGGTACTGAATTACTCACAGTGATATACTGCTGATCAGGTTGGTAGAGATGATTAACTGATGGAAATGAATGAGAGTGTCTAACATTGAGGTTGTGAAGATAAAATAAATGTAAAGGAACCGAGACTTAAAGGAGCAAAATGGAAGTTGCTAAATAAAAAAGGGACCCTTTACTGTGTGTTCACCACTTACTTTCCCTATTAAATACCTTGTTCCTAGCACACATGTGACCCATACATCTGCACAGCTAGATTGCAAATACCATTTGCAAATGATGAAGTTGGGGTTTCAGTTTCCTTCAGTCTTACTCAGACAGTTTTGACAAATGTATATCCTCATCACTGTTCCTTCCCCCGGGGCCCTCTCAGTCACAAACTCTGCATGCACTGTGGCCAAGTCAGGAGGCAGAGTTTTACCACAAAGTCACCAGATGCAGACAATGAGTAGTAAGTGAATAGCGAAAGCATGAACAAACACTTCTTATTGCTTCCTGTAAACACTCATCAGAGGAATGTTGTTAAAAAAAAAAAAAAGAAAGTCTGGCGTGAATAACATAAAGCAGGGATGCCTTCATGAACTAGCATTAATCACATCCTCCAGCTGGTGTGTAACGTTGAGAGGGGGCAAACGCTGGAGAAGGGTTTACCTAAGCCTCCTGAAAGAGCCATCTGGGGAAGGCAGGGCCGGACCAGTCCCCCAGGTTTTGCACACTCTTCTCAAATAGGCAAATGAATGGCGCTAAGAAGATAAATGCACTACACAGACACACTCACACACAGTGACAGCATGCCATGTGTGGTGAAGGCTGCATTCTCACTAACACCTTTTATTGCTGGAGTCGGTAGAGCCAAACACAACCATTAAGAACGAAGACACCAACAAGGCATACAGACAAAAACAACAACCATCACCATGCCAGCTGAGCTTTCTGTTTACATAATGATTACTGGAAGAAGGAAGGAATTATTTTTATGAGCTTAAGAGGTTGGGAATATCTTCAAGGCTTATACAAACCTATTCTGTTCTAAAGAGATCAGGATAGAGCGGTTTAAGAAAGGTTTACTTCTGAAATGCGGGATCTGGTATCCACAAGTCTGGGCACTATCTATAGGCCCCCTAAATAATCTTTAATCAACTTTTTTAAACTGATTTAATTTCATGAATCATTTCTCACGGTGCTACTCTGAATAAAGCGGTGCATGTTAAAAATCTGTGTTTATCATGTGCCATGGCTTACACAGCATGCTAGCTTTGAAGTTACAGTTTATGTTGTCTTTGCTCGTTCGCTGTTTCAACTTGTCTTTAAATTTGCATTCCAGTTTGATGAGGATGTCAAGTATTGGTATGGGATCGGTGCTAGCCTTGTCCTATTCCCAAATTCAAGTATCAGTATCTGTATTAGAAGGAAAAAAGTCAAAAGCCATCATTGTCAGTATGCAGATATACACACTGTCTGAGACTTATGTTAATGAGCACACAACAAAAACAATGGTTAAAAACGATGTCTTCTGTTCCCCTTTAAATGCAAACTGTCTGTTTTTGATTTGGTGAGGAGGTTTGGTTCGTATTTCGAAAATTGACTATGACACATCAGGGTGTCAACAAATACCTCCTTTTCCAGTTTATTTAGTTCATAAGATGCTGACATATTGTGATTCAGATTTCAAATCTGAAGAGTGCTGAGCACAGGCCTCAAAGTGTAACAGATGGAGCGGAAATTCAAAAGAGGGAAATCATCACACACTGTGGGAATGTCAAAAGTGATCTCACCGTGAGCGGCAGGGAGCAGACCACAAAGATGACTGTGATGAGTGCCAGCAGCACCAGGTGGTCCATCTCCTCTTCCCCCTGTCCGAACCAGGCTAGGCTCAGCCTCCGCTTTCTCACATTTGAACCCGCCGAGCCCCGCCGCATCATCTGGTTCCGGTGCATCTTGCATAGGCTGACTATGACTGAGCCGTTGCACACCAACACAGCCAGGATCAGCAGAGCCATGAGGGAGGAGTAGGACACAGAGAACGCCATCACCAAGCTGGCCCACTCATCTCCTGTCGCATCCATGTCGATGAAGCACCACGTCCCGGGGCAGTACTGTCTGAATTTGCCATAGCCAGCGTACGGCAGGAGGCAGAAGAGCAAAGAAAAGAGGTAAATAAAGAAAAGAGTGAATTTGGCAAAGCTGCGGCGGATGTGCACAGAGTAAAAGTAAGGGTGGCTGATGGCCAGACAGCGTTCCACAGCCATGGCGCACAGGATGAGTGTGGGTGCTAGGCCAAAGAAACTCATAGCAAAGCCAAAAAGTTTGCACAGTGTTTCATCACCCAGGCCGATCAGGGATACGTTGCGGGCGTAGCAGATGAACACAGGTGGGCTGAGGAGGCAGGTGCCCAGCAGGTCAGTGAGGGCCAGGCCGGTCACAAGGATGCAGAAGACTGAGGACCTGGAGCGATGTTCCTTCTGGTGCACGCCGAGGATGAACAGAGCCAGGAGGTTTCCAACTACGGCAGCCAAGAACATGATGATGCTTACAGCCGGCTTGCCTTCCCCGATAACCTCCATAGTGGCATTGCAGCTATGGCATGATTCCATGTTAAACTCACGAAGATGAAGTATGGCTGCTCAGTGTGGAATAAACAAGGAATCCCCAGACAACAAAGCTGAAGTCTGACCTTTCGATACCATTATGTGACCACAGAGAAGGCAGGGATTGGTGAGACCCATCATGCTGCGTTGACTTAAAACATGATTATCAGACTGTCTGGGTCTCTTTTACAAAACAGAGTTTTGAATTCTTCCTGTGGAACAAAGAAAAACAAATAAGAAAATATTATCTCAGTGTTTAACTAGAAAAAAACTAAGAATCATAAAACTCTCATTAAACAAAGAGTTAAAACATTTCTGATGAAGCTATTCTGCTAAAAGTCAATCACTCAACTCCTTTCTCATGATGACCAATAACCACTCACATGTAAGACTGTAGAGCGGCAGCAACACGAGTGTACACTTCTGCTTCTTCTTCTTCTTCTGCTTCTTCTCCCCCTCTTTCCCGAGCGATTCAGACTCTCCGTATGAAAATATCAAGTTTTGCCTGAGCCGAAACCCAGATGTGAAGTTTAAAAGTGCCGCGTGCCGGTATCGAGTAGCTGATGCACGCTCATCCACAGACAGAGAGAGACTGCACGAGCTCCGGGTCTCCTCCGCTGACTTTCCACTTCTGTGTCTCTGCACCTCCCAGCCTCTGTGTGAAGCCCCGCCCACTTTACCGACGCTCAACTTTTGTTTCAATCTTACGTTAGGAAAATGGGAAGTAAATGAAAATGAAAATCATCCTTTAATGGTTTCACTTAGAATAACCGTAGTCTCTTTCTTGTTTTAAGATCTTTGTGTGTACAAGAGCAAGTGGATAAGAAAGGCATCTGATGTAAACAAACGATCCAATAAGAAGTTAAGAAAACATTTCTTAATATTTTCATTATAAATAGCCCAAATGTGCCTCTAGTGTGCTTAGAACTGGCTTATTGTGAGGTAAAAAAAAAAACAATGTTAAAATGTAATAGCCTAGATTTTGTTTTTCTGCAGCGTCTAGTCTCCTTGGTTTAAGGTTTTGAATAGCATTAACTTCCATTAGTTTAAATTTAATTTAGGCCTATGTATTTGGTAGTTTAAGGGGTGAACCGATTTTTGCACATTTAAAGAAAGTTTTCCCTGTTTTTCTTTTTTTTTTTCATTGACCAATAGGTATATTTGATGTTTCTGAAATCTTAACTTTTTGTGCATCCTCAGAGTGAAAACCCTGATTGCTGAAAGAGGTAAAACCTCTCAACAATGTGGAGCAACAACCCTGGAGGAGACTGCATGCTTGATGTGTCACTTTGGGTTCAAGAGTATTGTCTGACCCTCTTGAGAAGAGTCCAACGACTGTGCACCAGAGAAAGAGCTGTTCAGAAAATACAAGTGCTGCCCACGTGACAGCACTGAGGCGCACTTGGGGAAAACATATAAATGTTGAAATGAAAAAGTTCTGATGTAAAAATTCACAAGTAAATCTCTTGCATTCAAAAAGTGGCCAAAGTAGAAGGACAGTATAGCTATTATAATAGACTAAAGAGTAAAGAAATCACAACATAAATTGGTCCATTTTGTATGATTATATAAATAGCATTTGAATTAATATGTAGAACATGAACTTGTATTTAATGTTGCATCTGATAGAGGTAGAGCACTTATTGTTTGGAAATCTTACCTGTGCATCACATTCATCATTATTGATCATCAGATGAAAGGTATTATTAAGTATTACTAAAATATAAATTGTGTTTACCTCTAAAATATTGTAGGGTAATAATTTCCATTGAAAATAAGTAGAATGAGAGTACACTGAGAGGGCTGGTGTTCCGCTGTTTTGCAATTCCCTAATTGAATTTTTAGTCCCACGGGAGAATGACCTCATTCATGTGTTCACCCGCGTGTGACCTGTGATGACTAAGACACCATTGACTGATTTCTTTAAAGCTTGTTTTAATCGATTTGAGAATGAAATTAACAGTGGGAAACAAGGTTTTTTTTAAGTTAACCCATCTGACACATTATGAAAACGTTACCATTTCCGCAGTCACAGAATGTAATAATGAAGTTCCTGAGTCCTTAATGGTTTTATTTCATGACAGTTAAAATGAGACTTAGCACCAAAAAAAGTCTCCACACAATACTTTTACGTAGTAATTACATTTGTTTGCTCAGTACCCACTCTCAGTTATTCCACATGCTTGCTTCCTGTTGCTGTTTCTGTAACTGACAGAATATAATTATGTCCAACGGAGTATTGCAGATCAGGTTTCTCCTTGTTTTATTGTAAATTAAAGTGATGATTCACAGTCACATAGCTGATAGCGGATGGTAGTTTGCTGGCACTAACTTCTGTTATATTAAACAAAGACATGAAAATACTTTGGGGTTTTTTCAAATCTCCGATTCAGTTTTGTTTATTCTCTCCAGCCTCTAGTCCTTCCCTGGAAAACAAAGATGTATTCCGCTTTGAACAACAAGGCACCTTGTGGCAAAGATGGCATGTGGGGTGTTTACAGAAGCCCTGCTCATAAAACAAAGCAGGCAGGCAACTTTAAATAAACATCACACACAGACGCAGATGTATTTGTACAGTTCCCAAAGTTTGTGAACATACCATTTTACTGTAGACACCAACTTCACAACACATGGTTTTAAAACACTTTTATGAGGATCATTACCGGTTGAGATCCCCGCACCCGAGGCCACGTGGCCCCTCGGTGCTGGCGGCGGATCGTCACTCAGAAAAACTCTCCCTCTCCCGGTACTAAGCGGTTGGTATGGATATGTAATGCATGGATGGAAGGATGAGTGAAAGTAGGGACAGATGAAAAGTTGATGGAAGGCTGAACAGAATAATGGATGGACGATGGATGGTTCAATGGATGGCCCAATTAGTTTGATAGATGGATGATGAGGGATGATCAATGAATAGATTTATAATGGATGTAAAAACAGATTGGGGATAGAATAGAATAAATTGATAGAATTGTGAATGGGGCCATGGCTTGACCATTGGATCAGGATGGATGGGTAATAAATTGATGGATTGACAGGTGTGCAGATGGATCAACCATTAGATGGTTGATGGATGAATGGATTGATGGATGGATGAATGATGGATGGGTAATAAAATGGTGCCATGGATGATGAGTTGATTGCTTGACAAAACAATTGATAAATTAACATAATGATTGATCAATGGAAGATAAGGTCTCCTCATCTCCAACAGTTTATCTACTCCGGTACTTTCACCACTCGTCGCCTGAGTATACAATATCTCTCTGTGGTATTTTCCTTGTTTTGGCTGACATCTCTGAGTATCGTTCTGTGTGAACTACTAGTTTGTTGCTAACCTCTGTGTCTCTGTGCCTCAGTGCCTGGTGTTTGTGCTCGTGCCTGCCCGCCTACTCGTGGAAGCCTCTACCTTGTGGATTTTGTTTTTCTCGCTACTATTCTCCTATGCTCTTTTGGCATTGTGTTTTTTGTTGTCGCACAAGATCTGTGCCTCTGTGTCCGGAATTTTGCTTTTGGGTCTGTACTCTCGTGCCGAGTCATAACAGAATACTCAGGCCAAGATGGACCCAGCAGACTCCGACCAGTCGCTGCAACTTAAAGTCCTTCGTCGGGCCATCTCCCGCCAAGGAGAGCGGCTGGGTCAGTCCCTTCAAGGCATCATGGATTACCTCCGTGATCTCTCTGCCAGCCTCTCCCGAGTGGAGACTCACATCCATGCCGCAGCGGCAACGCCACCAGCCGACATTCCTCCGTCTGCTCCAGAGGTTCCGCTGTATGTTCATCAACCCCGTGAGCCATATGTGCCCGCACCAGAACGATATGACGGTAAATTGGGCGAGTGTAGCTCGCTCTTGTTTCAATGTTCTCTAGTGTTTGAACAGCAAACCACCACCTATGCTAATGATAAGACAAGGATTGCTTATGTTTTGGGGTTGCGCACAGGGAGAGCTAGATCGTGGGGTTGTGCGTTTTGAAATAGCCCTTTTACAGCCCACGCCTCGTTCGATCAGTTTGTTACTGAAATGAAGTCAGTGTTTGACCACCCTATCTGCAGCGGAGATTCTAGTAACAGTCTGCTTAGTCTCAGTGTAGCAGAATTTTCTGTTGAATTTAGGACTCTAGCAGCGGAACTGGGTTGGGATGATAAGGCGTTACAGGGGATATTTTTTAAGGGGCTTAATGATTCGTTTAAGGACAGTCTAGTTGGAAGAGCAGAGACAGGGACACTGCAGGAGCTTATTTCACTTGTAGTTAAGATTGATAACCGGCTTAGAGAACCCGTCGGGATAGAGCCCAGGTGACCTCCCCCAGAACATCAGGCTCCTTGTTTCCCTCTCAGTTCCCCAAGCCCGGGGTCGGATCCAGGAACTCTTCGGGTTTAAACGGGACTTCAAACTCTCTCTCTACATCCCATAATTCTCCTGAGGAGCCCATGCAGCTGGGTCGAAGCCGTCTTTCCCTTGCTGAGAGAAACAGACGCTTCCGTGAGAAACTGTGCATTTACTGTGGTGAAACTGGACATCAGATCGCGTCATGCCAGCAGCGGTTAAACGCAAGGCCTCACCAGTCTCAGCTGGGGTTCTGGTGAGTCGAGCAGTGGTTCCTGCTTTACCCCGTAAGCGTCTAAATGTGGAGGCCAGTCTTATCATCAATGGTGAGCCTCTTTCCCTCCTTGCATTAATTGATTCTGGTGGATTCTACATGGAGCCACAGTGTTCACTAAACTGGATCTACGGAATGCTTATCATCTGGTGAGGATAAGGGAGGGAGATGAGTGGAAGACTGGTTTCAACACTCCCCTGGGTCACTTTGAATACTTGGTCATGCTGTTTGGACTCACTAATGCCCCAGCAGTGTTCCAAGCTCTGGTAAATGATATCCTTAGGGACTTCCTCAACAGGTCAGTGTTTGTTTACCTGGATGACATTTTGATTTTTACAAGAAATCTGGAGTAACATCTTGTTCATGTTAGACAAGTTTTGCAAAGACTGTTGGAGAATAAATTGTTTGTGAAGTCAGAAAAGTGTGAGTTTCACATCTCTTCAGTATCGTTTCTGGGATACATTTTGGAGAGCGTGCAGGTTGAAGATGGATCCAGCTAAGATACAGGCAGTGACTGAATGGCAGACTCCCTCTAACAGAAAACAGCTACAGAGGTTTTTGTGAAGCCAGATGCCTTATCCAGACTGTAGCTGGGTAATGAGGAGGGTTCTTCCAACACAGATACCATAGTGCCTCCATCCTGTCTAGTGGCTGCGGTTACCTGGGAGATCGAGTCAGTGGTAAGAACTGCCCAGATCACTCAACCAGACCCTGATGGGGGTCCACCTAACCGTCTTTTTGTGCCAGACTCTGTTCGTTCTCAAGTGCTGCAGTGGGGTCACACATCCAGCTTCGCCTGTCACCCGGGTGTTTCACAGACCCTGGGACTGCTACGTCGTCACTTCTGGTGGCCCACCATGTCTACCGACACTCGTCAGTTTGTGTTGGCTTGTACGCTTTGTGTCAGGAGCAAGGCATTGCACCGTCCTCCTGTCGGTCTCCTCCATCCGCTCCCAGTACCCAGTCGTGCCTGGTCTCATATCACTCTGGATTTTGTTACTGGTCTCCCTGTGTCACAAGGTAACACTACCATACTCATGATTGTTGA